ATTTTATTGATCTCTAACTATTTCTATGATATTGCCCAGAAGGCATACAAAGATGAAGAAATATAGTATTTACAGAGAGAAAGAATTGAGCTTTTATCTATGGTTAGCTCTCATATGCCCAGCCTCCCCTCTTCGGGAAGAGAAGTGCCAATTTATACACCTAAACACTCAATATAATTAGTATTTTACAAGTTGACTTGACACATGGAAGGCTCTCGTTCATTTATCTCTTGGAAGGAGATAAGGTTGGTAAGAATATCTTTGAGAATATATGGGTTTGGCAGCTAATACAGAAAGACATTTATTAGACTGACATAAGCATGACTTTTGAGGCATAACAGATTGTTTCCATCCATCTCCCAGATTTAGTCGTAAAAGCCAAATATAATTGTTTCCCCACCATGAATTCCAATTCAAAAACTGCATCAGTTTGAAAGCAGAAACAATTTCCATAAGTGGCGCAACAAGATAATGTTTTCATAAAACATAAAGCAAACCTATGAATACAACAAATTAGAGGTCCCAGCATAGGGTGAATATTATATTACAAGAAATCGATCAATTTCATCAACAATGAATCTAACAACAACAAAAGCCACCTGAAAATGTTTTCGTGCTTCTCGCTTTGTCTCTATGAGATAATTAGTTTAACCACAACACTAAACACATTAATTGAGCTTGACTTTTTGTTGCCCACTTGGCTAGACATTGATTATATTTCGTATATGATTATTATATAGTTTATATATAACTTATAGTTGGAGCAATATGCCATCAATATCACATCAGTACAACCAAAGTTTCAAACGTATAATACACATCCGATCATGGATACTCTTCAAAGAAATGATCTACAGGAAATTCTGTCGCTACCAACGAACTCTATCCTAACGCAAGGAGAAAACTTTAGAACATACAAGCAAGTCCAATGATTGCAGCCTGTTTGGGCATTGTCTTCTGACTTTCTTTTGTTTTGTTTCTAATCTAGGGTATGTCTTGAGGTAGGAAGAGTTTTTTTTTTTTTTTTCGTTGTCGTTTTTTTTGTATTTTCATAGCTTTGTATGGGCTATTGTTTTGGGTCCTAACCCAGGGGATTATCCTAAGATAGGTTGATTGCCATAGAGTACCGTATAGAATACTGTATGGGTTTGTGTTGTGATCATATCAATCCGACACACGTTCAAACCTGATATATAATCGAAATACAATCTAAAAAAAAAGTTTAGAAATTACTTTATGAAAACATGCGTTGAAAGTTATATATGTATAGATTTATGTAGCTAAATTATAAATCTAAACCCTTGATATGGAAAGTATGTGAACATGATAAGCAAACTTTTGGTACAAGTCGAGACATTTGATTAATTTCTATTTGAGTGGAGCCGGCGGGTGTCTTCATTAAATATTAGGGTATCACAGTTAAATTATTTGCTTTTGGACCCGAGAAAAAAAGATGAAGCATAAACTATTTAATAATCGAAAAGATAGGAAAGTGGCATAATGGAAGACGCATACAAGAACATATTTTATAATGTTATTATAAATCATTTCCTAAAATGGCAACAAGAATAGTGTTAGTGGTAACATACAGTGATTCTTTGACACTGAACTGGAAAATCCCACTTAATTAATTGGTCAAAATCTCAGACTTAACCCCCCAAAATGGACTGGTAGATATAAATTTATAACTAATGCTACCCCAGTGGAAGAATTAATAGATTTCGTTGAGCACTTAATGAGTCTCATGTCACTTTATGTTTCCTTACCGAATACTATATCACAATTCCAATTTTTTTATGTCTTGAAAGACAAGAACCAAGAGTGAGAAAACTAAGTAAGTCCATCTTTTTGTACTGATATGTAAAGATTTGATGAAGTTTTCGTATTCTATTGTGCTCTCTCTCAAATTATTAACCAATCACATGATGAACCAAACAAGCAGTGGAAACCCCTAGAACGAAGGAAAGATAGATTTGAATATTGAGACAATGTGTTCAGTTGGGCGGCCAATTTCTTATCTCTAGCTTATTTTATTATAAAAGTACTAACACTCTTAACAGTGTTCAATACATCAGAAATCTTCTTCTTCAGTTTTCACCACTACCAAGATTATTATTGTGATAGAATATTAATTTATTTATTCTTTATGTAGCATTGAGCCAATGTGTTCACTTCAGCTCATTACTAGTGTTTTTGTTTGATTTGATCTTTATTTATCTTTTCTGTGAGCATATAATATGAAGCGATGAAACGGACACTTAGCTTTTGCATTGCAATTTTTTATTTATTATAGATAAAAGTTTTGGTTACAGAAAGACGCGACTCCTGCTTTGACACATCAAATTACGATCATTTTTTTCTTCTTTTTTTAAAAAAAAAAACTTTTAAGATGCCTTAACCAAGAATCTTGTCTTTGGTATGTTATTGGTCGATCGATATGATGTTGAAGTCTGGGAAATAATGTCGTCAAGCTTGTTAATATGACACAATGTAAAGAATAATGAGTATTATAGTTCTCTAATTGAGGTTATATACAAATAAGATCTAGTTATGCACTTGAATTGAGATTCTTTCCTGAAAAATTAGAAAGACCTAATACTATTGTATACACACAGCACAGGTTAAGATTATAACATATCAAATTAATAAAGTATCCATATCCTAATATCCATTCTCAATTAGGAAATAGAGAATTTGATTGAAGTAACAAGCCATTATGATCGAACATTTATTTATATATATATACATGCCTGCATGAACAATGGCTTTCATATGTTGACAAATTTGAGGCGTCTTTAAGTTCTTGGAGAAACTTCATGCGTGAATATAATATAGTTTATTTGTGGATGAAGTTTTGTTAGATAGATTGTCGTAAGGTTCAGAACATTCCTATATACATGTATATATAAGCTTTGATAATTATAGGTGAAGTGGTTGATTTTTAAACTAAATAAAATAAATTAAATGGAATAACATTATCATAACCTAATTAATTAACTAAAACAATCTGCAAAAGAAGACATACTCCTCAGGACTATCTCCTCGATTTTTTCTTCTCGTTTTCCTTTAGAGCAGTTCAAAATTTTTGCACCATATGAAGGCTTTAGTAAAATCCGATCTTCAAACCCGTATAAAGTGAATAGCAAGACATTGGAGACTATATAATAAATAACATTGAATATTCTTGCTCAGAAACAATACCCATGTGAGTTTTGTACGTACAAAGGACTTAACAAATACATATACAAAATGGTTAAGGTTTTGTTTATATAATTAATATCATGGTATACGTACGTTGGATATAAATGTTTAACTGATAATCAATCAATTAGGTATATTCACAAGCAAAAGTGGCTGGATGTTCATCTACCTCTTTAGCTCGTAGACTTATTACTTGAATATAGTTCATTTAATTGTTTCCTATTTTTGTTATCAATTATGTTATGTGTCTCAGAAGAACATACATTGACAAAGATGTAAAAAAAATTATATTTTAGCTATTAATTTAAGCATGATTAGGGATATTGATTGGCTTCAGCAGGACCAGTAGTACAAATAGTAACATGGACTAATTATCGAAACAAACAAAAGGTCGGTATTTCATTTTCTTTTTAAAATGATAATTCTATTAGGATGCCTGGTTGTGCTAATCAATTCCAGTTCAGAAAGGAAAGGGATTTGTTCAAGCTAAGACAAGAGACAACATGAAGAAGAAAACAAACAAAAATCTAAGCCAAATCAAATATAACTTTCATAGGAATTATGACGTGTCCTCTTGTCTTTTGCCCAATTGGCCACTACTCTTGTATCTCCCTCCCAAATTTTTGATATCTTTCCTTATCGTTAAATCAATTCTTATTAATAATGTTTTTCAAATCCCAGCTGTTTAATTACTAACTTCCATGAACGAATGAATTAACTTGTGATAAACCATGTTACCCTAATAGAGTTATACTTGTATAAGCTAGACATCTAATACTTCCATTTAGAACACAGCCAAATAATTAATGAATTGTTCAGGAGTACTGAATGTGCATTGTTAAAAGCCAATTCCATCTCGCAACATGATTAAAAGCATATTCAGACCTACAGCGAAAGAGAGGTGGTTTATTCCAACGTCAACATTTGCATCGACAAAGAGCTCGTTGGAAAAATATATTTTTTCTTGTAGTGGAGGTATATTACACCAAACCTGTTCCTATTTTAAGATCATAAAAATAAAAACGAAAGCACTATATCTTTGGCTTTAACCACAAGAATTCATTGCAGGGCAAGTGGGTACGTACCTTAACTATTCCGATTTCTGCAGCAATCAAAGAGGCACTAAATAGAACAAAAAAAATGAAGAATAGCAGATCGAACGTGTTCTTGTTTTAGTTGAGCACACATGCCATGATTGCATGCACATACACAAAGAAAACTTTATAATATACATTAAACAAGTGCTAAAGAAGCAAGCTAGACAATAGAAACAACAAAGGAGAGATGAGATTGAGCTAGCGAACAATGTGAATAATAAAGAGAAGATCGATGGATCTTTTTTGGGCACATGCCTTGTCTTTTAGTAGGCAAAATGCTTCAGAAGAACATCATGATCTTCATTTAAATTGGTTTACTTTGCCAGCTGCTTTTTTACGTCCTCTTCCAGGTTTTAGATCTTCTGGGGTTTTATTAGGCCCATATCGGCCAAGCCCAATTCATCTATATAGCCCCTTTGACACCTCTAAGTATAACAAACCCCATTTTTTATTTATTTTTTTAATTTTTATTTTTGTGACTGGTGTATCTAAACCAATTTGCATGCACCTCGACTAGTTTTCGGAGTCTATTGAATACCCTATAAGTCCAATTGATCAAGTAAGTCATAAATATAGTAGATGATCAATTGATGGGACTTGAACATAAGTCATCTAACTAACATAAAGTTTTACCATCGGTTATGTACGACAATTATGACTGATAAAATGCCATATTTATTGTGCAAAGTTTGCAAGTTTATGAGCTTTAAATAAGAATGTGGCATTATTAATGAAGCTAATTTATCCTTATACACAATGTATATTATATTGTTCTCCATATAAATAAGTCATAATAATCAAGATTAGAAAAACAAAAATCATAATCAATCTGTTAACAAAGCTCTCTAAAACCATGCCAGGGTGACTGTTGCAAACAGCATCATTGTTAATGCACGAAGATTTCTTGCACAGTTACTTGCTGGAGCAGGTCCTATATCACATAAATAAAAGTATAAACATTGATCAAATATATTATAGTTTTGAGTGAGTTTGATATATTTATTTATCAACATTTATAAAATATCAAATATTGCATAAATATTTACCAGTTTCAGTTGTGGATCCCGATTTTACTGGAGGTGGTGGTGGATTAGGCGTTGGCAGGCCCAACCCGAGCCCGTCACAATCTGCTCCAAAAGAGCCTGGAAAAAAACAAGCAAGCCCACAAGATTACAGGCTCATACATCGGAACACCTTCAACTATTTAAATCATTTAAAAAAAAATCTCCAATACCATTCCAATAATATTTTAGTAACATCAAAATAACACAACCCATTATATTGAAACAGACAAAATACCATTTAACAAGATGATTATGTATTAGTGTCACAAATTAAATTGTTCAATAGTAATTTATCTATGACTATAAATTAATATCAAAATTTTAAGTTGATATTATTAACCTTATATGATAATATTTTTATCTGAATGTGTCTAAAACAAATTTTTTTTTTTTTTTTTTTTTTTTTTGGTGGTTGTTTTAAACAAAAGTATAATATAAAGTAATACTATTTATCTCGTCACACCATATATGGTAGTAGGGATGGGCGTGGACCAGAGACCCCATTTTCCGGGCCCAGCCCATTCCTGGGACAGTATATCGGGGAACCCCATCCCCGGCCCGGGAAGGTGTGACTTCCCTCCGTCCCAGCCTTGAAGAAAATTGAAAATTTTAATCTTGTATTGTTGGGCTTAAAAATAAAAGGTCCAGGCCCAGATTGGTAGTAAATAAGCTTAGAAGAAAAGGCTCAGGTCAAGTCAAGAGTTAAGGCCCATGGTCAAGAGATGTGAAAATCACAGCCTACTCCCTTCAGAATAAGGGAGTGGGGACGGGGAATTTCATTGGGTCCGGGCTGGTGGTCCCTGACTGTTTCGGGGAATCTCCACCCTGTTCACAGGTCGGCTTCCCGACAGAGTGAGCCAAAACCTCGTCCCTAGGTTGTGGTATTGGTATTGTTATTATATTAACCTATCACTACTTTATTTACTATCATATTACATACGACAACACATCAATTGATAGCAGATGAATAGAAAACCCAAGGATAAAATAGTTTCAAAAGGGGGAAGTGACTTACAGGTATCTAAACAAGCCAGGCTGCGTTGCCGACAAATTAGCAGCGCCCTGAGAGCACTGGCATTTGTATCCAGTTTCATTGGCAACACAAGTTCCTTTTCCGCACCATACAAGAGCACAACTGTGAAACAAAATTACATAATTTTAATTACACCATCTGAAAAACATAATCTTGATTAACTGAAAACTATTTATGCTTAATTAATGATGTCCATAAATGTACCGTTTAATTGAGGCAGAGAGAGTGCTGGTGAAGATGCATGTACATTGAAGATCTATCGAACCTGAAAATAACAATTCATCAACCAATTCATCCTTTTTTTTTTTTTTTTTTTTTTTAATGATCAAGGGTATTCGAATAGTCTGTGCACACCTCAACTAATCTCCCAGAATCCTAAAATACTAATTGGATAAGAACTCTAATGACACCTCTATTAGAGGCTGAAATGAAACGAACTCAAAATCTTTTGAATAATACATCTAAAAATCCTAATGACCACTTGATTACTCAATAGTAGTTACAATAAATTGTTTCACAATCTTTTGTGATCGGCTTGGCCTATTTTAAGGCGTAAAATATTGAAAATACCATGACATGATTTAATGTATATATATAATCTATATGTATGTACGTAATTATAAACTTTATTGAAGCAAATATTATTTGAAATTTCATGTCCATGACATAAACATTTTGAACATAATTTCATGAAAAAGTGTAAAATGAATGATCGGATAATCTGTATTTATTCATACAGTCGTCAATTAATAAAGGGCTTCATCGTACGCATGTGCAAGCATGGATAATCAAATAAACATAGTAATTATGATATATTAATGGGGGTTTTCTCAACCCTCCGACATTTAATCAAATAACAAAGTTTCCCCCAAGATTTCAGAAATACCCACCTTTAGAATTTAAAACATAATGAGTTAATAAATATTTTATTATATCACCCCTTTTCATTTATTTTAACACAAAAAACTTAACAATAAGAGATTTTACTATTACTTTAACTACGGGGGATTTCTGTAATGTGATTATACTTTAGGGGGATTATTAAAACACTGTATAACTCTTAAAACATTTTACATTTCAAAATCACATTCCTTCTTATCCTCGTTCTACTTCAAATTTCACAATAAAACGCCACGATTTCTTCTTCTTCCTGCCGAAAAATAATTACAGCATAATTTATTAGAGTAATGTATATTATAATAATATAATTAAGTGTTCGGTTATTTCATCATTTTAGGTTTCAGAAATTTATCTATCAGGGGTTCAGTTTCAGATTTGAACTTATGAAACAAGGGGAGATTTTGGATTTAAAAAAAAAAAAAACAAGATAAAAGTAAAAAAGAAATGGAAGAAGAAGACTCACAGTTAGGAAGAACACAAGAAGGGAAGGTCAAGGGACCAATCTGAATCTTCTTCCAGCCGGGATTGCATTCCATTCAAAACCGAGCACTGAGGAATTGGAATCCTTGCATGTTCCTTCCCCACAATTCACAAGTGCACAACCTAAACCTGTAACACAAATGCAATCGTCAATCATTAAAAAAACCCTTTGAAAAGTAGAGTGTCAAGCATATTTTTATATATAAAACACTACTTGTTGCTGCTGCCGGGACTGAGAGATTGAAGATGGAGAGAGAGAAGATAAGAAGATGGAGAGAAATTATGAGGATGGAATGATTCAAAGTGAAGCTTTCCATTGTATGATTGGAGAAAAGTTGATGAAAACGGTTGACCACAGCATTTATAATGGTTTGTACGAGGAGCTGTGAAAAATAAATACAGTCACCTTGAACCTGAAGTCATTTCGATTCTTTTTTTTTTTTTTAAATCCTCTTTCTCGTTTCAAAACAAATTCTTTAACGTTTAATATATAAAAGTGAGAGGGAGAATATTTAGTATACCCCTAAGGTTTATGAATTTGCATCCAAATGATAACCTTCACACTTCTATCAAAATAACCAAAATTTGAAAATTCTATTAGTAATATCCCTTTGCCCTAACTTCGTTATGTTGCCATTAGTGTTACATCGGTTAAATAGTAACTTTGATCTTATAAGAGAAGATTTTTAACCTAATAACAATACAACACATTTAAGGTAAAGGTCTAAAGGAGTGTCAATGATAAATTTTTTAAACTTTGAGGGTTCATTTGACAACGCAAAGAGGTATTTGATAAAAAAAAGTGCAAAAGTTGTTATCCAAATGTAAATTTAGAAACATTAAGGGTTGTCTGTAATATTCTCCACATAAAGAATTTTAAGCTATATATATGTAAGATCTTGATTTTATGTAAATTATTAATTAAGTGTTGGTGTGATGGTGGTATTACAATATTGTATTGATGAAAATCTTAACGGATGCATTAATTAATAACCTGTCCTGCTTTCAACTACTTAGATGAAACTAATAAATCAAAATAGATGGGGCGAGACAAGCGATGGAAAAGGTAGGAAATCACAATTGCTGGGGACAAATTTGGTGGTGGAAAACAAGAATGCATTAAACTAATAGCCGTCTTCATTAAATATTGCTCCAATGGCCTCTTTCACTACATGCTTCACGTTTCTGCTTTTACAGACTTTCCTCCCCAAGACTAAAGATCCCATCCCTCACGTTATAAAATTCCTTTTTTAATGGGCATACATTCCATATTTGCTGATCTGTCTACAAATAGATAATGTAAAGAACACAAGAATCAAAGTCGAGATCACTAACTCAAGGGGTTAGCCAGATGATCAAGAAGATTAGCTCTTATCCTTGAGTTTCTGGATTCAAACCTTAGATCTACGTATCACAATAACATTGTAATTTATTTAGTCTTTTAAGCTTATACGGTGTTTAATAGAAATCTCAAGGATTAGTTAAGATGCACAAAAACTAGCCCGAACATTACTAAAAACAAAAAACATTGTAACTTACTTGATCCTTTAAGCTTGTAAGGTATTCAATGGACCCCAAAGATTAGTTGAAATACACACAAACTAACTCGGACACCCCGGTTATCAAGAAAAAAAGTCGAGATCGCTATATCAATTGAGATACAAAGTTCATTACATAATTAATTCAACACAATAAAAAGTATACAAGATCATTAACTTTTCATTCATTTGGGTACACCAACAGTACCGTTTAGTCTGAGAGAAAAAGAGAGGGATTAAAATGGGAGTTTAGGTTTACTGATAGCAGACATCTCCATGTTACATTACATTAGGTGAGGTTACATATGAAAGATGAAGATAACACAAAAATATGAGACATTAGAAAAACACTTCATTTATATAACGAATCAATCAATCATCACACGAGTGAAAGCAGCCGGAAAACATCAGAAGAAACAAGAACCCAGCAAATAGATACCGGGACAACAAAAAATGAATCCACTTCGACAATCCTTTTTTATCTTCCTTATGCTGATCCAAATTCTTGAAACCACTTCTCATGCTTTTCAATATCAGATTGAGAGACACTTCGTTGTACCTTTGTTAACGCTTCTTCAAAGTCACACATGGCAACAGGGTCCTTTGAAATCTCATCCTTAGGCATGCTCTTAATCTCATCACGAGTCTTTCCTGCTATTTTGCGTCTCATGCCATTCAAGGATGCATCACGGCAAACATTTGTCAAATCATCTCCACTGTATCCCTCTGTTCGACGAGCCACTTCATCAATGTCTACATCTTGGGCCACCTGATATGTATACATATCTTTAGTTAAGTGGTGCCTAATTTAAGGATGTAGATAACATGTCATTGTATATATTAATGACAAAACAGATCATAATGGATATAAACATACTTTCAATAAGAAAATAACAAGTCACTTGGTTCCTAATGCAAAACATAAGTTCAAATAACAGATTGGATAAAACTTGAGATGTACAGGGATTTCAGAATCATAAGCCTAAAACATTAGACACAGAATCCAAAATTGTTGTGGTAGCATATTACGGTGGATTTCATCTATAAATTTGCAGCATATAAGCATCAAAGATCCTTCAATAAATGATCCCCCAAAAGTAAGCGTCTGATCTTAGTAATTTCCTACTGGTACATCCTTCATTTCATCGAGGTTTTAGTAAAGTGTGTCATAAAGCCAAACAAACAGCTGAACACTTAACATGCTTATATGCTGCAAATTTATGCCACCATCAATTGTTTCGTAAAATATAAAGGGCTTGCATCTTAAGAAGAACCACAAATTTTAAAAAACAAAAAACAAGTTGAATAAGGTAAACTAATCCTACAATATGTCCACGTAAGAATATTTACGGCTTATCAAAATTAATTTACCTCAACAGTTTTCAAATTAATCCGAATAAGCTCCTTACGACTCTCAAAACTAGGAAGAGGAATATATATACGCTTTTCCAGCCTCCTCCTGCATTGAATTATGAACAAATTAGCTATTGCAGGTCAAACACCCAAAAGACAAAATCTCAGGTAATAGCCTAGTAGAAAAGGCATAAGCAAGTCAAAGAGCAAATTGAATTCCAAATTTAGACAAATTATGGAAAAGGCAAACCTCAGAGCCTCATCTATGTCCCATGGGAAATTAGTTGCTGCCAAAACCATCACAATTTTACGGCTGCCATCCTCATTAGTGCCTGAATTACTTACACCATCCACCTGAACTAGAAGTTCAGATTTCACCCGTCTGGATGATTCATGCTCACCTGACGCACTAAACAAAATAGTCCATTTTTACTGTCAGCATTACCAAATATTACATGAGGCAACACCACATTTTAAAGTAAAGAGAATATCTCCTTGGAGATGATTCCAAGGGCATACAGAGACCAATACCATAATGACGCAGAGATAAAGCGAGTTAAAAAAATTACAAGGTAAAAGGTTAAAGAACTACATGTTTCTGCCATTTATTCAAAATAAAATAAAAAAATGCAGAAATATATGAACACCAAACATGATCATGATGGAGGACTTACAAAAATATTCGTCTAATTAAAAAATATAATTATATTGAAAACTCTAGAAGAACAATAAGCTTACCCTCGAGCATTACAAAGAGAATCAATCTCATCAATAAATATTGTGCTTGGTGCATAAGCTCTTGCCAGATCAAACAAGCACCGCACCATGCGTTCACTCTCTCCACGCCATTTTGAGGCTAATGTAGCAGAAGATACATTGAAAAAAGTGGTGCCACACTCAGTAGCAACTGCTTTAGCCAGAAGCGTCTTTCCTGTTCCAGGTGGACCAAACATAAGCACACCTTTCCACGGTCTCCTAATTCCCTGCAAGTAAAATCAATCAGCTCTTTTTTCACAAATGGTCTATTTTGACACTAATGCAATCTAGCATGAGGCAAGTGATTTTTTAATGCAAGGAAATTTAGCAATTATAACAAATTTTCAGGAATGAAAGGCAATAACATCATCCGCTTCCAATTTTGGACCCTCCACCATGTCTTATTATAAAGCTTCTGTGACCAAAGAAATGTATTCTAATCAAACTTCTCCATTTCCACAAGAAATATAAAACGGAAATAGACCTTAGAATATCGATGATTTGGTTAGACTCAACGAAGGATCATATTCCATTCATCTTTTAAGCTGCTTCTACTCTTTCCAACAAATGCAAAATCAACTCAATAAAGTGATTTTTCCATTGACAAACGAGCACATAAATGTTGAAAAAGATAACAAAAGTGGGAAAAACAAAATTGCAACATGGTAAATAATTCATCTTTATTCTTCAAAAATACCTGAAAATATTCAGGCATCCACAAAGGAAGCACAACAGCTTCCTCTAGAAGTCTCTTTGCTTCAGTCAGACCAGCAACATCATCCCACCGCACTCCAGGAGTGGTTTCCAAGACATCCCTTTCAAGCATTGCAGCCAGATCTGGATCAGGTCCCTCATACTGAAGCTTCTTTGGTTTTCCATCTTCAGAGTCACCATTCTGACAATCGCACAAGCAAATTAGTTACCAGAATATGGATAATTTAAGATAGAATAACAACAAATTCAAATGATATAGTTTCAGGCACCACTTAAAATATCTTCATAACTAGGAGATACCATTAAAGTGTTTCACAGGCCAAAGCTATCCAATCAAGAATCAAACAGAATTTGTTGGCAATCTAGCCAGATAAAAAACAAAAACGGCAACCGAACCATCAAGAACAACATCCATATTGATTATGATATGCAAAAACCAAAAATAAAACTACAGTAACTTCAATCACAAACTAAATGACTTGAGAATAGTCATTACAATGAACTCCAAAAAAGTTTAACCAGACTTTTTCCTTTTGCAATCTTTTAACTAGATGCATCACTAGCACTAAATTCACTGCACAATCAAACCATCTAGTCTTATATCCGAAACCCAAACTTCACTAACAACTCAAAACCAGTACATAAATTTTCAATTATAGAAAGTGCATTAGAAGTTAGAACTTACTGCTGAATCTGTCTTGCTAGATTTTCCTGTAGTAGTGCTTTTCTTTCCAGTGGTTGATGCTCGAACTCCTGAGTTACCCCGACTAGAACCAGCTGTCTTTCCACCACGACCAGTTGTACCAGTTCTGTTAGTAGCACCACGAGCCCAAGCCCCATCCTGGGGTGATTTCCTCATACCAACTTGACCAGCCCTTGCAGGTCTCCTACTTGTAGTGTCCCGACTAGGTGGCCTCCACACATCAGGATCATCAATTGGGCCACCTGAGGAAGTAGGGTACTCGTCTAATGGTTGGAAAACAAACGATGATTTAGCATGAATAGGTGGCGAAGAAGGGCGTCTGCCCCCAGGAATTTCCTTGAACGACCTTCTCTCAGCATCCAACTGCTTCACAACCTCTGTTTCCTCAGAAAGGGCCTTCTTCACATTCATCCATTTTGCACGTACTAATGGGTCATCAAGCGTGTTTAAGTGCCTAAGATTAAAACAATGGTTTACACTTTCATTAAAAGAACTCTAACTTTAATGAAGAAATATATTTTCCCCCAATTTCAAATAATCTAATTTTCAATAAAATAAATCAGAAACAAAAATAATAATAATAATAATTTTTTAACCGGACTTACTAAGGGTAAAGAACATTTCATGGTAATAATTAATAATTAAAAATAAATTAATCGTTAGTTTAAAATTTTTTAAGCAAATGTAATTCTTCACCAAAACATTACTATTTTTAACTAGCCTCCTCATGTTCAGTTTTAAAAAAATAAAATTCCAAAAATAGAATAAAACTAACAAGCTTAAATTTCAGAGTAACAAAAACAAATATTAACCATATATTGCTAAAACACCCAGCTCAATGTCCACAATTACCCCCCAAAAAAATGAAAAATAACCAAAAACCTAAATGTAGAGAAAATTTTCAAAACAACAGTAGCAACTAGCTAACACAATGAAACAGAGAGTGAGTTTTCAGTGTTTGTATTGACGACAAAGGACAGAAAGATGCAGCAAAATTACTTGTTGATCTGAGCAATGGCGCCATCGAAGAAGATAATTGAAGTGTCGTAGAGTCCTTCGAGAGCGTACTCTCTCGCTAGCTTCAAGTGATCTTGCAAACCCACCAGTGAATTTGTCCCTACCATTGTCTCTGAAAATTCCCTAAAAATCTAGGTTTTCATTTCCCGTAAAATAATAGATCAGACTTGAAGAAGCTGTGAAGGGCGTGACGGCGACGTTTTAAGTGGTTGAGACTTGAGAGAGGGAAGAAGGAGAAAGTGAAATGACTGGACTAGTCTTGGATTATTGAGTTTTAAATGGGTGGAAAGGATGGGTCCGGGTCGGGTTGTAACAAAAAGTGTTGAATAAAATTTGAAATTGCAACTTTGGCATTTAGAAACATCATTATTAAAGATCTCATCTCTTTATAATTTTTATCTTTTAATCCTAACTATTTATATCATAAATTAGGATTTTTATTTCAGAGAATCAAAACATAAAATACCAAATATAATTATTTAAGAGTTGGATCAAGATCCCACATGAATAGCAACATTTATTAAATAAATAAATAAATAAAGATTATTTTAAACTTACAATTATATGAATCTAATGAAAAATAATATTAAATTTACTAACATTTATATTTTTAGGTTTTGAAATCCAACTTAAATGATTATTTTTTATATATATTTTACTCTTGCCTTTTTTATTTTGATTAATGAATAAAAAATTTCCCTTTTGAATATACAAATTGGCACAATCTGAAATAATAATTAAAAATTCAAAGAATGTGCATTCAAATCTAATATTCTGACCAAAAAAAAAAAGTAGGAGTTTGTTAAGTAAACCCACTTTTTTTTTAGGATGTAGGCACCTTTTATTTTCTATTTTTTATTACATATTTACCCTTCAAATGGGTCTAATTAAACACACTTATTGGAGAAATATTGGAGTTTTAAGGTTTAGTAACAGAAATAAGAAGATCAACAGCTTTAGAATGGAATATTTACACTCTTGTAATTGACAAACATTTTCTGAAAAGTTAATTTGGATACAGAGTCTGGGTACAATGACTAATCTATCCTTATTTTATTTTATTTTCTTACAACAAAAAGAAACTAATATTTAACATATGTTATGTGATCAAATTTATAAAAATATTAAACGTTGCCAATTTGATGAGATATTTGGGAAACAAAAAAACTAGTTTTTTATTGTGTCGTATATTTTACTCTTATGATAATTTCTTTTCACAAATACTATTTAACTACAAGGGTGTAAGTGTTCTATTCTAAAACCTATTAATCTCTTTGTTTTCGTCACTAAACCTTAGTGTGTCATGTAAAGAAAATAGGTTACCCAAAACCCCAGAGGTTGGCCTGGTGGTCGAGATGTGCTCCCTTCTTTGACTTCCTAAATTTAAACATTGGAGTCATCTACCTTAATGCATAATTGTGTCTTATCTGGTTCATTAGATTTGTAGGGTATTTAATGAATTCCGATGATTAATTAAGATGCGAGTAAGCTGGGCTGGACACCCCGCTTACCAAAAACAAAAAAAAAATTATATATATAGAGGTTACCAAATAAGAAGTCCAGCATGTTCATCAAACACGGTCAGGCTAGTCCAACAACATCAAGCCCAACCCAAAAAGCTTGACTAAAGCCCATCTGTGAGAAACCTATAATGGGCTCTCATCCTTCCCAGGGCCAAATAAAACAGTAACTAAGACAAATCCAAATCAAATGATAACACACTAACTAGTCAACGATTTTGTTTCCTGCCTTGAATTTATGAGTTTAAACTTTTAGAGTCACTTTTCTAATAACATTGTAACTTATTTAGTCTTTTAGACTTATAGAGTGTTTAATAAACCCCACGGGTCACCTTGGTTACCCCCAAAAAATCTACAATTTATTTATGTATAATTGAAAAGATTTAATATATACTAGTAATAAAATTGTATTGACTTCAGAAAAATTTTCGCATAACAAAATTGGCTGAAAATACCGTAAGATAAGGTCAATAGCGTCCTGATTTAAAGTAAATTTCCAAGTAATTACACTCACATACAACATCTATATAAAGAATCAATAACAACATAAACAAAACCAAAAAACAAAAAAAATCAAATTAAGAGTAAGAATGAACATGGCAGCCTCCAGCATGAAAACATGGGTCTTGTGCATGGCACTGATCAGCCTGCTGTTGATCAACCATGCCGTTGAAGCTGCAGACCCAAAGTTCAACCTTGCCAAGTCAAAGGGAGGCAAGCACAAGCGCGGCAAGAAACACCAGCCTCCCCCAGTTTACGGCAAAGAGTTTGTCGGGGTCGAGACGCTGTCTGGAGGCGGAAAGAAGAAGTTATAAATATTTGAATGTGATGAGGAAACAATGGAGAAATGATCAGTATTAGATGACGGCTTTTACAATTTGTTCTCATCAGAGATAAATCTTAACTGTAAAACTAAAAATATTCAGTAACTGTACTTGTAATTTGATTGAATATAGAAATGGTAAAATCCATAACCACTTCTCAGTTTGTGTAAAACTTCTAACAACTGGTGCATTTGAATAATTGGAGGGGTGACTGCCCCTACTGGAATATTATTGTCTGAAATTAGAAAGGTAGTCTCAATTATATATAGTATATTGGAAAGATGCTTCTCAGAAATGCATACATAAGTTTATACAGAGGCATATTGATTTAATAAATGCAAATTTTTGGAGGTGTTCTATTGCCTGTGTTGATTTATGGTGCTTAATTAATTAGTTTATGTTTCACAATTCATTACCATTCCTATACACATCTATCACAAATATTATATTATTTTTTTCACAATTACGAAGCATTCTTTTTTATCTATAGCTAATATAACGAATCTCACATTAGAAACGTATTGGGAAGGTCTTGGACATATAAAGGAAGAAATCACTCCACCTAATAGGTTAGCCTTTTTAGGTGTGAAACTCTTAACTCGTGATAAATGATATCAGAACAGACCCAATCCATCTTTCGATGTCCCGCCAAGTGCTCTCATAGGTCCACATGAGAGTAAGATGAACGGATAGGCATGAGACCCCACCTATGACGAGAGCATCATAGGATTGGATGGGGAGAATATAACAAATCCCACCTTCGAAACGTATTCGGAAAGAGTCCCTCCACCTAATAGGTTAACCTTTTGGGTGTGAAACTCACAGTTCGTGACACTAAGCTATAATGTGATGTATGTTAATTTGAAATGCAATTCTTCTTAGATACTGCAATTTGCTGTAAAATTACATGGCATTGGAAAAAACAAAACAGAATCTTTCTAATTTTTTGGAAAAGTAGGAAGTTTTTCAGCAACACAATCTTACTAGTGGGAGTATTTCTCCAATATGTGGCTGTGTATAACTTATGCAGGCATTTGTGAGAAGCATTTTCCAATATATATATATATAACTGAGACTACCTTTCTAATTTCAGACAATATTCCAGTAGGGGCATTCACCCTCCAATTATTCAAATGCACCAGTTGTGAAGTTAACACAAACTGGCAAATGGTTATGGATTTTACCATTTCTATATTCAATCAAATTACCAGTTACTGAACCATGCCGTCTTTCACCAGTTCTTCTAACCCTGTCCTCAGCCTATTGGCAGCTGATTTACAATCAGCTTCTACCAACCCACCAAAGGAGATTCTCAAATGCCCTGGACAACCGCATGCGCCTCCTGGGATCACAACCACCCCATGCTTATGAGCAAGCCAACGAACAACTGCATAGTCATCAACGTATTTCTCTGGAAGCCTTGCCCACAAGTAAATCGCACCTTCTCCTCCTCTCACAGCATCTTCTCCCAACGGTGACAGGGCTTCTAAGATGATTTCTTTGTTCTTCACAAGATCTTTCACCTGTTCTGTGACCCACTCTGGGCCTGTTTCTAAGGAGTGTAGGGCAAGATGCTGTGAAATTATCGACGCACAGATTGGTATATTGTCCTGAACCTTGAGAAGTTGAGTTCCAAAGCCCTCCACTTCCGAGGGGTACGCTATCTGCATGTATTCAGAATTGAACTCAGAGTTGATACACAAACTTTTGTATCCCAAATAAAAACATAGAAAATCATGGAGTTTGTGAAAGAATATTTCTAGTTTTACAGGTAAGATTTGTCTTTGATGAGAAAATAAAGTAAAAGCAGCTATCTAATACTGATTGTTTTGAATCTTTCATGATCAATAATGTCTAAATATTAAGCATCACTGTCACATGAGTCACTGTTTATACATAATTTTAGAAAATCGCTGTTAATACCATTCAAAAAGTTAGAAAAGAAATGCATTCGATTCCTAAAACAATCTGCTTTCCCTATATCAACAAACATAAGATGCTGAATTGCCACTTACGTATCCAACTCGCCATCCCATCATTCCGTAGGCTTTGGAGAAGGAAAAGATGTTGACTATGTGATTCCCTTCAATACACGAGTGTTTTAGACCATCATACATAAAATACCTGCATACAATGTTGTTCAGACTCAAATATAATAATCAAAAGTTTTTTGTATGCCTTTAATGGTGTATATCTTTTATGATAGTCGATGGACTTGCATAGTCGCCTGTATCATCCATCCAATTTATACAATTCGTCCAATACCAGGGTTTAAAGAGATTTGTTCAAGTAAATATGTGCATGAACAGAAGATTAATTCCGTCACACTACCTCTAAACTGTATTTTATAAGTTTCAGATTTAAATTATGATGAGTTTCGCAACATGCAACCATGCCAGAACAACTTCAATTTGTAATAACGAAACACACATCCTTGATAGTAAACCAACTACACAGCTCTATCAGCATTTTGCAGGCACCCTTTTTTATTATAAACAAACAAGCCACTTTTTACTGAACACAGCACAAAGATTATAACATGAGAGAATACCGTTATTTCAAATCATCTGCAACAAAAACAGAAGACACTTACTCGTATGTGTTATCTACTACAAGCCAAGCTCCAGCGTCTCTGCATAGATCAGAAATCCTCTGCTCAAAAAGAAAGAAACCATAAAAAGAAAATTGGATTAATCTCTCTCAAGGAATGTCATGTTAGCAGCTACTCATTTCACTAATTTCAGAAGATGGTGCAAAATATTGCAGGTTAACTGCAAACAGAAAATTTCCTTTCATTCTTTCATGCGTGAGCATGCTTAAAGAGAGAGACAGGAAAAAACCTTTAGTAGAGGCTCTGGAATGTAGGTACCAGATGGGTT